GGAGGAGAGGGAGAAGAAGAAGAAGAAGAAACGAGGAAGAAGAAGAGGGGGGAACAAAAAGGAATTGCTGGTAACTTACCTGCGCATAGGCTTTGGGGTCAATGACGTGGCAGCGACCAGGAGTTGCTGACGTGGCAATAGCGAGGCGGCAGGTACGAGGCACTGATGTGGCAGTGAAGGCGACGACGAAGATGACGACGATGGCGTGACGTGGCAACGACGGCAACGAGGTCGGCGGGAACGACGATGACATGGCAACGAAGTCGACGATGACGGAACAGGGCGGGAGGGAGGGCCGAAGCCGCTCCGATACCAGTGTGACAAGGCTGAGGCAGAGCAGCGAGGCCGGGGAAGAGAGAGAGGGAGAGAGAGAGCACACACACACACTCACTCAACTCGACACAACTCGACGGACGCAGACACAAAGTGGCGAAGTCACAAAGTCGCAGTCTTGGATTCCGAACACAATGTCGCAGCAAGTCACACTGAAGCACAAGCACTGAGGCCAAAAAACTGACTGTCGAAACTCAGCTTGAGTCCGGTCTCAAGTACCGGACTCAAGTTGAGTCCAAGGGCAGAAGTGCAATTTGCCTCGGGGCTGAACTGAAAATCGAAGGTCTGAGCCTGGGCGCCAGAATCCCGGATCGCGCCAAGTATCGAGATCCAAAAGTGCCAGAGGCGGGATTCGAGAACAGGCGCCAACTGCAGAGGGCGCCAACAGTCAGGAACCGGAGATCAGAGACTCAAAAAAAAAAAAAAAAGCAGCCTGGTGGGTGCTACCCCCGGACCAGGGATCGAGCCCTGGCTGAGTCCGTAACAGTGGGGACAATTTTTTTTACTTCGCATTGGTAAAATATTTAGACAATCAAGATCAGAATGGTGGATAGGGTCACCTCTGTACCTACAACCTCACACAGCCCAACCAACAAGAGACATCTCCTGTTCGAACATACTCTTAATTAGTTTTCTAATATCCCCATACCCCCCACCTGCCCCCTCTCCCCCACCCGCTCCCCACCACCCGAAATCAAAGTTTCTTAGCATACTCGGGTTGTACTCGGCATGCACAGTACAGCCCCCTTCTTAGAATTTTAAAATGCTGGCTTGATGGCGCTCTGCTGACCAGTTGGTGGCCGGACTGGTAGGCTATGGAACGGTCAGCTGCCTGACTGGTATGCTGCAGTATGGTCGGCCGTCAAGCACTGGCAGTCAGCTGCTATGCCATTCTGGTAAGTGTGTTTCAATTTTGCATCTACTCATCTGGGTGGAAAAAAGGTGCCTGGTGACAGTCCAAACCACACACACACAAACACAACGCAACACAAAGCAAAGCAAGACACAAAAAGAGAAGACTGTGCACAGGAACAAACAGCCACCACTCTGTGATCGAAGAATCAAAGCAAGAATACACACCAATCCACTTGTTGAGCTGCCAACACCAGTAGACAGGCAAGAAAAAATTGTGTGGAGGAAACGTTTGCACTACTGGGAGGTGTGGCAAACAAACGAGCACATACCGATCCAAGGCCTGCTGTTTCTTAATGTTCAGAAGCTTTCTTTCGAGTATAAATTCCTTCCGCCACTTTCTCTCATCAAGCCTTTTGCAATAGACATGCAGCATTGTAAGTTTCACCTCCCTTTCCAGTTCAGTATCAGTGTCCCTGAACTCCATCTCTGCCAGCGGAAGCTCTGCATCATTGTCGTACTCAGGTTCAAACTCATCCCTCTTTGGGTTGTACCCAGATTGATCAGTCAGCTGAATCTTCACATCCTCATGCGCAGCCTTTGGTTTCTTCCCACCCAGACTTCTTCTGCTCTGACCATGACTGTCAGATGCACACAGTCTTCCAGCACCTGCAGACCCTCCTCCCCCATCTGAAGATCCTTCCTTCACTGCCCCAACCTTCATTGCACCTCTTGCTGCTTCCATCTCTCCAGGTCCAGCATTTGCCCTCTTTCCTCCATCTTGTGCCCCCTCAGATTTCACAGCAGCAAGGCTGGAAGCACCACCAGATGGGACTTTATTCCCACCTTCTCAACATAGGCGCGAAACGGGGAAAAGAGGAAAAAGGTAGACAAGGGAACACCATCACAAGGAGTAAGGGAACTCGACAATATAGTCGCCGTGAGGGTCTGATTCTAAACCAAGCATGCACAAAAGCTGGTCAAAACCTGTGATTTGTGAGTCTTGCTGTGGTCAATGTTCGGGATCCTCACTCTTTTTGCCAGTTTTTGGTGATTTGAGGGATTCTTTCATCAGCTCTGGACTAGGAGAAAAGGAAGAGAGCAAAAAAAGTTGACGAGTGCAAATTTCCTATAAGTTCAAATTAGGGGAAAGGCAGAACGTAGAAAGCAAAGACAGGAATAAAAAGGCGAAGATGAACTGGAGGAGGAGACTTAAACCACCACTAACTCCGAGCCTGTTTTAAAGTGTTTTTGCCTACCCTGAATTTCACTGCGCACCGAGTTTTGCCGAGCCTGGGTCCCATTGTATTCTCTTTTGTGGTACCCGTAAGGAGAGGGGAAAAAAAAAAACAAAGAAAAGGAAAAAAGCAAAGGCGTGTACAGAACATTGGGTACACATGAGAGTCTGCCAAAGGGCGTTACTGCCCTCACCAAAACACGGCAATAGGAAAAAAAAAAAAAAAAAAAGGAAAAAAACAACAACTCTTTGGACTTGAACGCAGCTGGACACAGAACATTGCGCACAAGTGAGAATATGCCCTCCCAACGGGCATTACA